AGTGTAGATGCAACCTTTTATTGAGCTCGTTTCACAGCGACGATTTCGAGCACAATCTGACATATTTGTGGTTGTCAAAACCTAACGAAAATTGGTTTCATTTTAAGCCAAAAAGAATCAATTTAGATACAGAAGTGAAAGTCGCAAGATTGTAGATACAATATCAAACCCTGGACAGAAAAGCCGAGACGACCCCAATTTTATCAAAATATTCAAATGTGTAGAAACGATTCATTATCAGTTTAAACAATATTACAAAATTATCGACTGACTCATCAAAATCAATTGACCTTATGTCGTTGACGTACATAATAATTTTTCTGGCAACAATTCTTTATGGCTCACAAAATCAGTCTACGGAACCATACCCACCATGTCAAGGTAAATATTTTTTTAGTTGATCATATTTTTAGTAATATTAGTTCACTGGTATGGCTTCTTGAAAACGTCATAATACAATTCATTACATTCTTTTGGCGCTTCGCACAGAAGTTATCTCAATTAATCCTAGATCTGTTTTCTGGGGTAAGCCTGTGTAATATCGATGATAAATTCAGAACAGGCCAAAACGTTATTTTGGGGTACTTGCACAGAAATATTATAGATTTCGTACTCTATATTTTTTACTTTTGATCTTGCCGTTCATAAGTTGGGTTCTTCTAGTTTGTGTGATAGCCAAATCCGGTCAGTTATGTACTAACCAATTTCTTACCATAATCATCAAATTATATATTTAGAAAATGATTGTATTTCTATGAGGTGAAGTGTTTTCTCTGTACGATATAGGTATAGCGTATAGGCTATGGTAATTTTCTCTAACATGAGTAGCGTTTTCATAAGAACCAAAAGGAATGAATGAAATAATGAACTCGATATCATTTCGTTTTGGATGCCAACATCTTCAGGTCCAGTATGTGAAGTTTCGAATTCATCACATTAGCTCGAGACAAGCAATTTTATGAAAGTTTTGTGTTTTTCAAGGTCGAAGCGCAGATGGCAGATCTCCCACATCGCTTGGGCTAAAAGGACCTAAAGGATATTTAGACTCTAGGAATATGTATATGAGCGTGCAATCTGGATGCAGAATTGAAATGCCTCACGATTTTGGCACCGAAAAACATACACTTCTGTTATATGTAAAGCGTGTTAGCCTGAAAAGTCGGCGAAATGTACATATTCCTTGTCAAAGAAATTTATGGCTTTATGGTGAGTTGATGAACCGCTGTAACCTGGAATCTAGGTTTAGGTAATATATAACTGATGCTATCACCTAACTATGATATGGAGTGATTCAATGTGCGGCAACACTAGAAACACTTGAAAAGCCCGATGCCAAATAGACCTTTGTAGTTTGTTGCATTGACTTAATTGCAGTAATGGACATCAGTGAGTCAGTTTATTCCGGTAGTTACACACAATTTAATTTATTAATATGACCAATGATATCACTCCACATATTATTACTTAACTAAATGAATATTATTAACTAAATAAATAAAAGCAAACATGAAATCAGAACTTACAAATATCAAAATTCCAAAGCCTAATGACAAAGGTGCGCTCACTAAAAACACAAAAAAAAAGAAAGCGACCTGCGGGAGAACTCACCGATGCCAGATCATTAGTAGACAACAGACAACCAAGTAGGCTCAATTAAATATATTTAGGACTCGCGTGTTTTATAAATTAAGGGAATAATACATGCAATTAATTATTTGTATCAAATTCTAGATAAGACATCAGTACATTTACTCAAATACGAATCCACTGCGTTTATAAAATTAAATGATTTTACTAGACTGGCACGACTATGGAAAATACATATATATTGCAAAAGAATGGCTACTCAACTGGCGGACCGCGGTTCGGATCCGGACCTTTCGGGTATTCGATTCGGACCGCGCCTTATTCTTTATTTTGAATCATTAGCCCCACTTTTGAAGTATCCTTTTATCAAATCACTTTTATAGATTTATATACATATGAAAAGAACTATAACGCCATAATAAACAATCTTGATTGTCTAATAATCATTAGTCGACGAGGAAGTGCGTGTTTAAGGATGCCGAAATATAATTTCTGAAAAAACCAGACCCAAATATTTTTGAAGTTTCGTATGCGGATCTTCGGTAAAAATAGTTGAGTAGCCATGTAATTTGGAGACTACAACCTAGTGTCCATAGTTATAATGAGGGAACATTTTTTACACTAGGGACGGACAAAGTTTCAACTCACTATAACTTTGAGCTATTCAAAAATCGGAGAACCGAAAAGTTCTTGTCCGCCAAAATTTGGTTATAAAATCCCGACTCTTGAAAGGTGAATATTCAAATCGTTAGTTTATGTTTGAGCATGGGACGATTGCAAATTGTAACATATATTGCCAAATTAAATAAAACTCAATTTTTGTTCTTCAGGCCATAACCTGTGTTTATCTCCTCCCGGTGCGTGTTACGTGATCCAGCGTGAAAATCAGCTATGTGAATCAATGAAGCAAGAACTTAAAAAATGCAGCAAACAATACTGGACATTTGAAGAAACGCCGTATATATTTTCCTGCGCTTTATCTCTCAAGGCCTAAAGCAGCATATTTACCATCAGCAAATATATTCTTCGAAATTGGATATACATTTATGTCCTGCACTGCAGAAAGTAAGTATATATCAATGCATAACTACTGGTACCGTAAGGTAAGCTATTGCAGATTTTGCTTTTGACTAGTCTGTCAAATTACAACTATTTCTCTTTATCAGAATGTTCAGGAAAAAATATAACTTCAAATAATCTAGACTTCTTATTAGATCAAATAAGATGCCAATTTATACATACCGCCCTCCAATATATTTTCGTTCAAATCCTTATTACTGCTGTTCTGTTCTTCGTAAAAAAAATCATGTTAAGGTAATACAGTTAATTCAGTTGAAAATTGACTTTTTTATGTCATGTTTAGGTTAGAGATGTACCGATGTATCGGTATCGGGTATCGGCAATATCGGCCATTTTTTCCGTATCGGCCATGTATCGGTATCGGTTAGATTAAGGCCGATATTTCCGATATATTTACCTTTTTGATATGGTTCAAAATGTTTTAAAAGATTAGTTGGAATACTACTTTTTAATTTATTTTTTGTCTGGAGAGATTGTGAGCTATGAGCCATACATGTTCCCACCCCCGTGAGAGAATATTCACGTGTTTTAGCTATTTATCAGCCAAACTAGCTCAACTAATTTAGATATTTTCGCTGTCAAATTTTTATATTGACATTTTTAATATTACATAGTAATTATGAAGAAATATATCAACACAGCACATAACAAAAAGCAATCAGGCGCCCGGTTTTAAATCATACAGTGGAATTGGGGTCCTTATTAACGGCACATAGACTTTTGGCACGGGTATAAATTCTGACTGTTTGTCGTCAAGTACGAGTGCCATTTAATCCGTCGACATCGATAAACTAAATTCCGACACAATTATCTCTCTACGCAGGTATTAATTTTAATTTTGTTTAACTACACAACTATTTTATAGATATATTGACATGACCGCCTAGCCCTAGACTGTCTCAAAATATATGATTGCAATTGTAAAATATTATAAAATCTATTTCGTTGGAAGAGATCATGTTATTTTTACTAAAAAAAACTCCTCGACGGTTATAGGTAGGCCTTCCTTTTGTTGGTGCTGATTGATATTCTTTATTCATGTTGCCTTTGACTTATTGCGTCGACGATTACGAATAGCCACGAAATACAATATTTGTAAAATGCTTTTAATTTGAACGTAGGACGGCGGCGCTAGAATATGTGCGTGATATTCGATATTCTTTTAAACACGAATAACGATATTCGAAGGTCGCGATATTAACATTAAATTCAAATTTGACACCCCGGCTTATGAGTTTTCTAATTGAACACCGAGATTACGAGCGTTACTGTACAACGTATCTTAATCAGTTAAAGCAAACTCCAAACATTAATTTCATATTATGCGACATATATATCTTTTTTTTCGATCTGAAATAATGTGTACTATGAACAACGCTCAAAGACCATTGTTTTAACCCGTCTGCCCTACACAGCACCCCTAATTAAGTAATAATTACATAGTATCGGTATCGGAATATCGGCCTTCTTATAGTATCGGCGTATCGGTATCGGCGTTTTTAGCTGGTATCGGATCGGTATCGGCGACAAAAGTGGTATCGGTACATCTCTAGTTTAGGTACGCCGATTACACACTTTCAGATTGCAACAATTATTTTAGGTGCAACCTTGTTATTCTCATTGATTTTCATCGCTATCTTGCTGTAAGTATTATTAACAATATTAAAATCGCCATATAACATTTGATGCGTGTGGAGGGCAGAGATTAAAACCAGCAACATTTAGTATGTAGTAAGTTTCTCTTTTATTCAGTGATTGTCAAGCGTTAATCCTGTAAATTGCAAAAAAAAATACTAAAGTTACCACTGTGTATTTCAGTTTTGAAATATATTTCCCGCTTGCAATAACAATTTTCAGAATAAGGACAGCATCACGTATCAAAAATAGTTTTCTGTTGTATATTCTTAGAGTTTAAATCTGACTTCCTTCAGGCTATGGAGATATATATACCGGTAGTTGTAAATGCTGTAATGGCACATATGCGGTCAACTGCATATAAACTCATTACCGCGAATCGTAACGTTTTCTAATTTTTCAACAAGACGGCAGCCAACCTATTAACAATTACTCTTTTTTTATCATATTATTGTTGTTAATCTTATTACTTTTTTTAGATGCTCCAAATTTTGTGAAAGATACAGGCGTACAATTCATTAAAATTAAGTTCTGCGAAGTTCAAACTATCTAATAATTCTCAAAATGGGCAATGAAAAAATATACTGAAATATGACGATTGCGAGGACGATACTAATCACAAAACGCCGATGAAAATGTCAATATTGTATCGACGACCTGGCGATGCAATAATTCCCATTTCTAAGACTCGATGACAATACGACTTCTGAACGATTTAATAAATGAATTATTCTCTCTTTACTGAAACATTAACCAACAAAATAAACAAAACAAGAAAACGATTTTGATATACGTAATCGTTATCTGACACCATTCATGTTCAGCAATCGCAGAATCCAATTTGCTATTGAAATTAAAAAAGCAGTCACAAAGATTGCACCCAAGTGTACAGACGCGGTATGGAATCTGTATGAAGAGTACTGGTCGTAGGCAAAACAAGGACTCAACGAAGCAATTTCGAAGTTCTGTACTCCCGAGCCGCCATCTTGTTCTACAACGATTGCTAAACGTTCATCAACGAATTTGTCTGGAATACATGAGGAAGGGTGACGTTCCCACGTATAGTTGAAGCTGTTTGTACATTTTCCGTAATCACGTATTGCTTCTTTGACGTTGACGCACGGGGATTCACATTGCGTAGATAAAATAGGACGTTCACATATAGCAGTGTTCATGTTGTGCTCAATGCAGTGCTCTATAAAAATTAACAAAATTAAAACTTAGCTAAAAAAACAAGTCTAAACATGATATTTGAATATAGGTTACAGATGAATAGGGTTTTAAAGTTATTATAGGATAGGATTTTTATATACATATCCCGGGGAGAGGAAAGCCGAAAATACGACATAATCATATAGAATAGAGTACCGTGGCCTCTCTTTCGGTTGCCAGTCCAGGAGATTAGTTATCTAGTAATTTGTTTTAGATGCATGGACTTTAGGGTGAAAGAAGCCGAAACCGACCATCGCAATCCTCTCGTACCTAATTATCTTCCTCGGCATTCGAACCTGATAACCCACGCAGGTTTATCAGAAGTGTGATGGCAAGTGTATTCCTAACGCTTACCACGAAGTCCACGATGCGCCAATCCCTGAGTCAATTATGTTAACAAAGCTTTTCTAGAAATCTACGTATTGTAGTTACCGATGTGGGAGTGAGAGAATTTATTTTTATCTTTAACGTAAAATCAGCAAACATTTTTTCACATTGGTGGCTTGAACATAACCTAGTTCAGAGTGAAAACCCTATAAAATGTACGTATATGAATATATGTATGAATAAAAAAATAACTATCTACTTACTTTGATTTAAATATTGTGGCACCCAGAAATCCGTTGATATAATAAGCAAAATAGTATTGGTTTTGTTTACATGAGATGCTCGAAACAATAATCCATCCATACTTGTTGCCAATTTTTTCAAATCAACTCGATATTCTTCTAGATACGCGACCTAAATTGTAAGCAAACGTAATTTTACTATTTTGATCACATCATGAAAAAGTTTCATATGAGTAAAATATTTAAAAATGCAGTTCAGCTTTCATTTTACTATAACTGTACAAGAGAGAGGAATGCTCAAATATATGGGCACGATGAGTAAATGAAGTAAAAGAATTTGACCGAATGTCATATGTAAACGCGTGCCAGATGTCATATAATAAGGTTCCCTTGAAGTAAATTTGGGAGTCGAATACCGGGACAAATAGGACTCAGGAAAAATTAAAAATATATAATACGGTACTTCTCCATCTATTGGTACTGATAAATTCGAAATCAATTGCGAAAGAAGCGAAAGCAACAAACCATAAGCGCAACCCAACAAGAACAGCTACAATTTGTCCAAACGATCGTCCGAATTGAAGTTTAAAAATATGAAGAATGAATTAGAAAATAACAAAAGAAAGTATACAAATTCCGAAGAGAAAGTTTTTCACAGTTACCTGATAATGATAGTCAACCGCGCACCTCGAAGATAATTTGGAAAACTTGGCTTATTCTTCAAACAAAGAAATATTAATACCAACCTGTGATACATCTACACATTGTTGTCTCACCAGAATACCTAAACGGACAAGTTCGTCTGCTATAACTCTATGTGCAGAAGTCACGTGATAATTGGTTTTTACAATTTGTTCAATGGCTGCATCATCCATTCCAGCAAGAGCGTTGTCGAATATAACATAGCCTGCAAAAAAGGTCGGGAAAATTATTTATTGATCACTAAAAAATATCGTAATAAAATAACACAATACATACAAATAATATGTCGACGCCATTGTGTCTTTTATTGGACACGAAATGTACATATGAATCGTTGTTCCTAATTGTCTTGTGGTGTGGCTAGGGGTTGTTGTGGATTTTTTTTTAATTTTCGGCAACTACTTGACCAGTCGATTATAAATTTTTAGTACGTTAAGATGGTTGAAGCCACTAGGAAGATAATAGTTTTTTTAGTTCTTTAAATGAGCATGGCGCTTGATATTTTACCCACCATCATTTAACCGTTCTGTTTTAATTCATGGGAACACTTTTCAACATTTTATCTTCGTAACCATATATTTCAACCTTGTTAATTCGTTTGATTATCGGTTTCAGTTAGGATTACACCAAACCAACTACCTAATATTTTTCTATGGCTTTGTGTCGTTGTATAGGTATGCGTATGATGCAAGGATGCTGTAGCCAGAATTTAAATGACTATTTTTATTGGATTCAAAAGTCTTGCCGCACGTTAACATGAATGTAAATCTGTACCGTTAAGTCATTTTTTAAACATAATCTTACCCGCCAAATCTATCAAAATGCACTCAAAACCGGAGTCTCTTTTGCAATCTTTAACTGTTGATCTCAGGATACTTTCAAGAAACCGGATCCGCATGTCACCTCCCATGACACCAACAACTTGCTTAGATACCTTATCCGTATCTTTTGTTGCCGATACCACAATAGGTTGCGTGATCGTTACCACTACACCGGCACCTGAGGCGTCCAAATATGGAGGTGACACTGCAGCTGACACTAACGAAAATTGGTTTCATTTTAAGCCAAAAAAGAATCAATTTAGATACAGAAGTGAAAGTCGCAAGATTGTAGATACAATATCAAACCCTGGACAGAAAAGCCGAGACGACCCCAATTTAATCGTTCGCCTACAAAAGATCCAACGCCAAACTATATTTGTTCATTTTAAATTAAATGTGACTCAGGATAAATTATAGTAAAAATATACTGTTGTACGTAGGATTTTGTGTAGACTCCCCACGCTACATTTATGCCGCATTAGGCTATATACCGATTAAAAACGATTTCTTATCTAGCGAGCATGAGAGACAAAATGGGAATAACAGGGAAATGCTATTAGTTTTAAATATTTCGTTTCTGTTGTAATTGATTAATGACCTTCAGACGTTTACTTTTTAGTAATTTATATAGTTTCAATACCGCGAGATTTTTCTCTTCTTCCGTATACTCACGTTTTAAAAATCAATAAGCTTTTGTTTTGTAGGCAAAATGTCACGAAAATTGTGTCGAAAACTATTATTAGAGAAAACACATAGAATGAATTGAAAAAGTAGGACAAAAAGAAATTTAGGCGTTATTTGTGAAAAATTAGAAAGGGAACAAAAAGACCTTGTGCATGAGGTCATTATTAAGGTTGCATGGAAAATACCATCGAGTTTGGTTTGAGATGGGTATATAGAGAACAGAGAAAACAAGTAAGGGTTATCCGAGTTTCGACAATGTTCTTATTAGCTCAGGGCTCTTTTGGGATTACGTTCCGGCCGCATTTCCACGAGGCAAGCCTCTTGCATTATGACCACCAACTAAAGTATTAACTCGGAAATTTAACGATTTGTTTATTTCATACAAATTTTAGTACCAGCAAGCATATTTGATAGACAGATTAAAAATTGTTAACTGATTATACTTGTGGGACCATACGCTAAAATAGCGGATTCAATTGACCTTATGTCGTTGACGTACATAATAATTTTTCTGGCAACAATTCTTTATGGCTCACAAAATCAGTCTACGGAACCATACCCACCATGTCGAGGTAAATATTTTTTTAGTTGATCATATTTTTAGTAATATTAGTTCACTGGTATGGCTTCTTGAAAACGTCATAAAACAATTCATTACATTCTTTTGGCGCTTCGCACAGAAGTTATCTCAATTAATCCTAGATATGTTTTCTGGGGTAAGCCTGTGTAATATCGATGATAAATTCAGGACAGGCCAAAACGTTATTTTGGGGTACTTGCACAGAAATATTTTCTAGATTTCGTACTCTATATTTTTTACTTTTGATCTTGCCGTTCATAAGTTGGGTTCTTCTAGTTTGTGTGACAGCCAAATCCGGTCAGTTATGTACTAACCAATTTCTTACCATAATCATCAAATTATATATTCAGAAAATGATTGTATTTCTATGAGGTGAAGTGTTTTCTCTGTACGATATAGGTATAGCGTATAAGCTATGGTAATTTTCTCTAACATGAGTAGCGTTTTCATAAGAACCAAAAGGAATGAATGAAATAATGAACTCGATATCATTTAGTTTTGGATGCCAACATCTTCAGGTCCAGTATGTGAAGTTTCGAATTCATCACATTAGCTCGAGACAAGCAATTTTATGAAAGTTTTGTGTTTTTCAAGGTCGAAGCGCAGATGGCAGATCTCCCACATCGCTTGTGCTAAAAGGGCCTAAAGGATATTTAGACTCTAGGAATATGTATATGAGCGTGCAATCTGGATGCAGAATTGAAATGCCTCACGATTTTGGCACCGAAAAACATACACTTCTGTTATATGTAAAGCGTGTTAGCCTGAAAAGTCGGCGGAATGTACATATTCCTTGTCAAAGAAATTTATGGCTTTATGGTGAGCTGATAAACCGCTGTAACCTGGAATCTAGGTTTAGGTAATATATAACTGATGCTATCACCTAACTATGATATGGAGTGATTCAATGTGCGGCAACACTAGAAACACTTGAAAAGCCCGATGCCAAATAGACCTTTGTAGTTTGTTGCATTGACTTAATTGCAGTAATGGACATCAGTGAGTCAGTTTATTCCGGTAGTTACACACAATTTAATTTATTAATATGACCAATGATATCACTCCAAATATTATTACTTAACTAAATGAATATTATTAACTAAATAAATAAAAGCAAACATGAAATCAGAACTTACAAATATCAAAATTCCAAAGCCTAATGACAAAGGTGCGCTCACTAAAAACACAAAAAGAAGAAAGCGACCTGCGGGAGAACTCACCGATGCCAGATCATTAGTAGACAACAGACAACCAAGTAGGCTCAATTAAATATATTTAGGACTCGCGTGTTTTATAAATTAAGGGAATAATACATGCAATTAATTATTTGTATCAAATTCTAGATAAGACATCAGTACATTTACTCAAATACGAATCCACTGCGTTTATAAAATTAAATGATTTTACTAGACTGGCACGACTATGGAAAATACATATATATTGCGAAAGAATGGCTACTCAACTGGCGGACCGCGGTCCGGATCCGGACCTTTCGGGTATTCGATTCGGACCGCGCCTTATTCTTTATTTTGAATCATTAGCCCCACTTTTGAAGTATCCTTTAATCAAATCACTTTTATAGATTTATATACATATGAAAAGAACTATAACGCCATAATAAACAATCTTGATTGTCTAATAATCATTAGTCGACGAGGAAGTGCGTGTTTAAGGATGCCGAAATATAATTTCTGAAGAAAACCAGACCCAAATATTTTTGAAGTTTCGTATGCGGATCTTCGGTAAAAATAGTTGAGTAGCCATGTAATTTGGAGACTACAACCTAGTGTCCATAGTTATAATGAGGGAACATTTTTTACACTAGGGACGGACGAAGTTTCAACTCACTATAACTTTGAGCTATTCAAAAATCGGAGAACCGAAAAGTTCTTGTCCGCCAAAATTTGGTTATAAAATCCCGACTCTTGAAAGGTGAATATTCAAATCGTTAGTTTATGTTTGAGCATGGGACGATTGCAAATTGTAACATATATTGCCAAATTAAATAAAACTCAATTTTTGTTCTTCAGGCCATAACCTGTGTTTATCTCCTCCCGGTGCGTGTTACGTGATCCAGCGTGAAAATCAGCTATGTGAATCAATGAAACAAGAACTTAAAAAATGCAGCAAACAATACTGGACATTTGAAGAAACGCCGTATTTTCCTGCGCTTTATCTCTCAAGGCCTAAAGCAGCATATTTACCATCAGCAAATATATTCTTCGAAATTGGATATACATTTATGTCCTGCACTGCAGAAAGTAAGTATCAATGCATAATTACTGGTGCCGTAAGGTAAGCTATTGCAGATATTGCCTTTGACTAGTCTGTCAAATTACCACTATTTCTCTTTATCAGAATGTTCAGGTAAAATATAATTTCAAA